AGCCTCACCGACGGGGGCTAACGCACAAGCTAACGGCCGACAGTAGCGGCTGCTTCGCCAATCTCCGCACTTAGCCCGGCTGTCAGCCGGCCGCATCTCGGCGCGCACGAAGCCCTTTTTGTCGGCCGACGTAGGCGCAAACGTGGCCCCACGATGAAAGGCGCTCGCGGGCTTGCCCATTTTCTCACAGTCCAGCGCGACGCTCGCTCGCTAGCTGGCTAGTGCAAAAAGATGGCGGGCAAGCCGACGCACAAGAGCGGCTACGCGAGCTAGCTATACAACGTTCATCACGTCGCTGCCACTCGGAGAAGCGAGAACGGGCGAGAGACGGCTCGCTCGCCCGTGGACGGAAGAAAGCACGCGAATGGAGTTGGCCGTGAAAGCAAAAGCAACATCGAAGCTGGCTCGGCCGCTGGCTGGATGGCTCGCCTTGGCCGCTGGAGTGTTAATTAGCACGTTAGCATGTTAGCTGAGCTTTGTCTGAAGGCGCCGAGCGGCCAGGCAGCCTCCCGACGCGCAGCGACACTTTGCGGCCGAGCCGAGCCCGAGTGGGCCCCCAGGCCCCCGCCACGGTGCGCGCGGACGTGTTTACTTTGGGCTTGGTCCTCCGGTGTGTCCAACGGCAGCCTCCACTCACTTTCCTGGATGATTTGGATTTAGCCAAGTAGCATAATAGATGAGTTATCAGCTGTCTGTTCTACGCGCAGCCGTAGTGACTAGGCGCGTCATTGCTGTTGTTGTGCCCCGATTGGCTGGCAACATAGTCAAGGCGTCGCGATTGGGCCGAGCGCGTTCCACGCTTTTGGCATTTGTTATTGGACGACCGAGGGAAATTTGTGGAGTGCTGCGATTGGTTGAAGGGAAGGCAGCGCTGCTGGGATTGGCCAGAATATTAGGTTGGCTCTCAGCGGGCGAACGCCGTTTCCCAGTATGCAATGTGCCGCGCAATGACGTCCACTGGCGACGAGTGCCGTGTTTGACTTGTCAAAAGTCGCAAAAAAAAATGTCAAAAGCACCACTGATTGAAATGTAGATAAACTCTAGCCCCCACTTCCATCACAGTGCTAATTCTTTATTAATAAAGTGAGTGCGGGGGGAAATGTCAAGCAAACGTGTAAAACGTGTATTTCAAATATTGTTCATATTAATCCACTTTTTATATTCAGTGACTCTCATAAAAGGGGATTGGAATGTGGCCAAAAATGAAAGGTCAAAGAGCAAAAGTGATTTTCAATAAGCTTTATTGACATCAACATCATCATCATCATCATTATAAGTCCCATTGCAAGTGGCCAGGAAGCTGGTAACATGCAGCAAAGCGGCTGAGCTGGGAGTACAGGAAGTGAGGTAGGGGATAGACAGGAAGCGGGTTAGGAGACAGACAGGAAGTGAGGTAGGGGCAGAGGAAATGAGTTCGGGGACATACCAGAAGTGAGGTAGGGACAGAGAGGAACTGAGGTAGGGACAGGCAAGAAGTGAGGTAGGGGACAGGCAGGAAGTGAGGTAGGGGACACTCAACTAGACAGGTAGTGAGGTCGGATGACAAGCAGACAGGAAATGAGTTAGGGGACAGACAGGCTGTTGGACAGGTGTAGTCCAATGCTTATTGGCTGTCTGGAGGTTCCGCCCCCTTGCGGTCAGCATCCGGGGGGTATGGTGAGGACGAGGAGGACGAGGATGAGGAGGCGGCGCAGAGGAGGAGGCGGTGGTGCTGTTCCTGATTTTGTGTGCCATCCCCGGCCACCTCCAGGCACAAGTAGGGGGCGACGCTGAGCTGACGCGCATCTACGTCCAAGCTGTCCCCTCCTCCTCGTCCCGCGGCCCCCCTCCGGATCTTCCTCCCGCCGCCGCTGCGTGGCAGCAGGGATTGTATCTTGGGCAGCCATCGCTTGCGAACTCTGCGAGCGTTGGTGCACATGTCGGCTGCGATCACGTTCATCTCGCTCTCCTTGAAGCTCGGAGCAAAGTTCTGACAGTACACTGAGCAGGACCGGCTTCATTAGACCCATGCTTGTTTGGCATTATCATCATCATCAGTCATCGGCTGTGTTGGGAATCACTCATTGACTCAACTATGCAGTCCAATGTGTCGAATACCAGGGCAGGGCAATTCCTGTCCTCGATGGCCGGCATCTTGGATGTTTTAGATATCTCCCTCCTCCAGCACACCTGATTGAAATGATCAGCTCATCTGCAACCTCTCCAGAAGCTGGATAACAATCCTGATCATTTCAATCTTGTGCGTTGGAGTAGGGAGGCACATGAACCATCCGGGATACTGGCCCTCAAGGACCAGAGTTGCCCACCCCTGCCCTATACGACGGTGCCCCCACCATTGGCGGTGGATCAGGACTGGACCCGATTGCCATTGCCGAAAATTGGTAAATAAGTGACCCTCACAAGGGTGGGCTCATAGGCCTGCACCCCCCCCAAAAAAAACTCAAATAAGTGGGAGATAGTGAGAAAGTACATTTCATAAGCTGAACAGGTTCTGCATTGTGATTTTGTTTTGGACGACAAGGTCCAGCACAATATGAATTTGTGATTGCAGGTAATAAGTGGATGATTGGGAACACAGCCGAAGCGTCAGATGTGACTTACGTTTGACGGTGTTTAACACTCGGTTGTCCAGCGGCTTTCTGCTCGGATCATTGGTGGAGGAGCGGATCCCCGTCCCGCAGCTATTGGCCAAGGTGTTTCTATGGATACCATAATAAGCCAATCAGTGCCCATACACGCACACACGGCGGCATGTAACAGAGCAGTTATATAAAGCAGCTGCTTCCTGGCCAAGGCTCCTTGCCGACAACACTTTCAGAAAACAACTTGAAAAAGTCTGATGATGTCATGTCCGACAAGGTCACAAAATGATTTCATAACATCATATCATGTCTCATGTCCATATTTCATGTCATGTCCAATGAGGCCATAACGTGACTCCATGATGTCATGACATCTGATGAGGTCATACACAATTAGATGATGTCATGTCCGTTTGTCATTTACGTTTGTTTATATTCATGTTAGGTTTTTCGTGAAGACATGACACAGGAGGTGTAGGTCAGAACCTTCGGGAAGACGACACAAGAATTGTAGTTATGTTAGCATACTAAGCTGATCGAAGATATGCTATGCTAACCTGTCAAAGAAGGTCGCCAGCAGCCTCCTGAGCAGAACTTTGTGTTTCACTCCCGCACAAAGGTGACAGTTCATCAGCTGGCCCCGCGTCATCAACACGCCCGAACCTACGCACATGTAATTGTGTGCGCGCATACACACACACACGCACGCACGCACGCAAACACACACATATTAGCATGAATTGGCTTGTTTAGTTAAAATGGGTCACTGTAACACTTTGGAGGACCCTTGTGAGCTATGGAGCTAAGTCACTATTGCATATCAATAGTTGGCTCATTATTTTATTTAGAACTCAATAATAAAGCTATCATGCTACGAGGAGAACAAGAAATTCCACAAAATGTAGGCCAAAGGCAGGATTTGAAGCAAGCCAAAGGGATGTGCTAACCACTCGGCTGCCATTTCGCCACATACCAAGACGTCATATTTTCAAATTGAGTGACCACAGAGATCATCTTAGTTAACGGAAACTAAGAAAATAACGGAAACTAAGATTGAACAAACATCTTTGTGAATGAAATAAAATAAAAAATGAAAAACAAAAAAAACTAAATTCAATTACAGTTTGCATTTACAAAAAGTAACTAATTATACGGCACTGTCCTTTGTTCTGGTATTGGGCAATTAATTTCATACATGAGTCTTTAGAGTTGACTTTTAATGCCTTCATTTTGGGATTACCTGATTTACTGTGATGTTTTTTTTTCCTTGCACACAATACATACATTAAAAATGTAAAAAACAGAAAACTCAACTATATAATAGAATAATAATGAAATTCTAATGAAAATTGACAAATCCTTATCCCTGGTGACCGCACCCTCACACCTACCTGCCACCAGCTCCAGCTTCTCTCCAGGTTCTCCCTCGGTGTATAGCGCAGGGTGGCATCGATACCCAATCTGACTGATCAGACTGGCGGGGAGCGTCATGTTGTCTCCGCCCACTAAAATGCCTGCACGCCGCTCACTGGCCAATGGCAGGCGTAGCATCTCCATTTTCTCCTGGCCTAGACCAATGACAGGACAGGAGCCATGTCATCAAAACCCTCAGACGAGTCATGTGACCAATTGTACTATCTGACCAGACTGACTCTGGCGTCCAAACATGTTTTGGTATATTCCAGAGTGTGTGGCGTTGCCGTAGTAACCATCCTCCGGCTCCACCTCCGTCGGTGCGTGTGACGGGGGTGAGTCTGTGGGCAGGCTGGACGCTTCTGAACTCGAGCAGCGTCCGCCTGCCAAGAGGTAAGACTGCAGACCCATGACCAGGCTCCCGGCAGCACCCAGGTAACAGATAGCACCCCCTCTGGTGGTCTGGAGCTCCCCTGCAAAGTCCACTCTGAAGAGACATAGAGGACTGGTCAGAAGTCAGGCCAGGACTAAGCAGACGACAACTAGATCATGGTTTGGGGATAAATGGAGTACCTAAATAGATGATGATTCCGGGTCTACATGATCAAGTTGGGTCAGGGTTTTGGTCTGACTAGAGGAACTGAATTAATGATTTAACTTTTAATTGGTCTCTCTAGTCTAGAACAAAACAACCCCAAAACAAAACAAACAAAGGATCATATTCCATATATGCAACACATACGGCCTATCATTATAAATTCATGTACTGGATTATTGATCCGGACCGGCCATACGAGTATAAATCAGACCAGATAAACTTGTGTGACCTTCTGACCTGGCATTCAGTTCTTCTGGAGTTGTTCCTGCGTGGTCCTCAAGGGGTGTGTCTTGCCTTTCTTGTTTGATCTGGCTCACGGCCATTATCAGGTCCTCTGGAGTCATGGACGAGGGGTCTGGACTGGAATCCTGCGGGTGGCCCACAGACTGGTCTAAAGGTCCCAGCTCGTCCGTTGAGGTGGTCTGTGAACCGCCATCATAAATAAAAGAGAACACAATAAATATCCAAGGACAGTTCTCCCGGCCAAAACAGACAAACTGGATCTTTCTTCCGTGATAAACCGATTAGATCGAGGTTCCTGATCCTAGACTACGATATAATTCCTGTGTTTGCTGGATTAAGTGGATGATGGAATCTGAAAATGGACTCAAAGGTTGATTGTTCCTGACTCTTGGCCGAGAAGAAAAGTTTTGTAATCACAGTGGGATGATTCTGGTTGAACGAAAATGAAACAAAGCATTTGGGGAGGTAGGATTCCAAATCTAGCGAGACTTACTGAGTCATGGTTCCTTCTCTATGTAACTGCACTAAGTGGTTCATGGTTCCAGGTCTTGCTGGACTATGTTCACCGTGGTAGATGGAATAAATGGACGAACGAGTAAAGTCTGTGTGGTGGTTTACTGGGCCATGGTGGACGCATAACTTAAACTCACCTGTGAGTCACAGCAGTGCGGCGAGGAGGATGTGGTCTTCATCTTCATAAACTCTAGGCTCCTCTCCACAATATTCTGGACCTGCAGGTACCCAGCCGTGTACATGAGGACCAGCTGCTCACTGGCGACCATGTTGAGACGGCCCGTGTAGCAGAAGGTCAGGATCTGATGGAAACAGGAGGGCGTCACCGAAGACGGGAGCTCATACGTAGACTGGGACCACTCCGACGTATCGGAGGACTCGGCACTGAACAGGTCTCGGAAGTAGAGCGAGGACGCGGCCAGGACGGCCCGGTGGGCTTTGAAGACCTGACCCTGGACAAGGATGGAGACGTCGCAGTGGAGTCCCAAAAGTCTTTGCTCGTTCAGGCTGCTCAGAACACTGCTGCCGAAGTCACCGACTGAAACCTGAAGACCTGACTCCGCCATGATGGAGGCGGGCTTAGGGAGGGCTGCTCCTGATGCTGGTGTCGCCACCTGAAGGTCTGGCATCCATGTCGTGCTGGTGGTGGTAAGAAAACCAGAGTCCAGCATGGTTTAGTCAAGTCCATCAGAGTCAAGCAGAGTACACTCAAGTGTCGCAGAGTCAACTTGAGTTTACTCGAGTCTGCTAGAGGCTAACGGGGTCAGATAGAGGCCAGCCGGCATGGTCCAGCAGTGTCCACAATATCTCATGCATAGTGGGGAATGAGAAAACTTCAAAGTCTGTCCTGTAATGTGAACTATCAAAGGGGAAACCGGTTTATACAAACGTGAAAGAAGCATACAGAGATGCGCAACACCCACGTGCTGCTCAGACCACCTCTCGAAGCTCCTCACCCCCGCACGCGACCCCGACTTGTGGTGGCCAAGCGTTCGGAGTGACGTCGCTTTCTGATCCTTCGATGTCGGCGCTTCCCATCGAAGTCTGCAACCATTTTCCTTGTGTACCCAAGACAACTGCCACTAACCGGCCTCGTGGATTACCGTCTGGAGCGGCTGGTCGTACAAGACTTCCTCGGTCCACCGCTGGGTTGCCGACAGATCAATGAAGCAGTTGCCATTACAAGTGCACAAATGCTATACACAGACAAGCAGTCAAGCCAAGCAAACATTTAGTGCACACTGGACCAGTGAGAAAGCCCGATGATGGGAGGTTTAGTTCCCAGCTTGTGGTTTTCATCCTACTCTACATTCTCTGTACAAGTATTTCCCACAGTTTATCGATTGTTTGGACATTTGAAGTGAGGGTAATAGTTTCAGTTCACTGTGACCCGGCAGTTTCTTCACACCTATTGCTAGCAAACATTGTGAAACGGTCCCAAGATGGACAGATGATGCAACGGCCATCGCAATCCAGCGCAGACACAGACGACCGTTAGGCCGTAAAAGAATCATCCCACGGCCAACATCCTGCTCAGAACGCCATCTGACTTGAGACTCATCCCACTCACCTGCTCCTCCGTTAAGAACTTTTCCTTCTGAGTGGGTCCGTATCCCTTCTTCTCTTGACCCGCCGCACAGGCTCCCCAGAAGTCGATCCCCCGGGGGTGGCCAAATTGTGGCCCGGGGTCAATTTGCGGCCCACTGCCCATTGCTTACATACAGCAATTTCCAAAAGACACAACCTGGGTGTTTAGACTGCATTGTGCTATTTACCGTTACTACCTCCAATCACCATCAAAGCTGAAGAAGAAATTGGCTCTCATGCCTCACTTCCTTGTTTTCCACGAATCACACGTCACTTGATCAGACACGCGTCGGAACGCCGATTGTTTCCTGTCCACTTTCTGCCATGTCAAGGTCATCAGAGTATACATCGTCAAGTCCGCGACAGTCCACGAGAGTCAAGCAGACTTTTGAGTCCAGCTCTGTCATTCCAGTTCTGTCGATGACGACCCGTTTCAAAAGTAGGAGTCCAGTACACTTTGGAGGACTCCTATCAAGTCCAGTACGAAGTCCAGTTTTTCGTCCAGTTTGGTCTTGTGCTTGTTTAGTTATGCTTAGTGGCTCACCTCCTCTCTGCTCCTCTTCCGATAGCGGCAGCTCAAGCAGTCTCTCTCACACACACACACACACACACACACACACACACACACACACACACACACACACACACACACACACACACACTCTAACGCAGCGTCTGGCGGGGTAGGGGGGGGTGTTCTTGGGGGTTTGCAGACAGACAAGTGGGGAGGGGGGGAGTCATCTGAGGACAGCGAGGGAGCTAATGCAGCTAACCAATAATGCGGCTAACTGCGCTGCAGAGGACAAGGGAGGGGGTACGCGCGCACACGCGCGCGCGCGCACACGCGTATGGCAGGTGCGCGCGTGTGGCATGACTGGGCTAAACCCACAGTGCTGCATTGCAGTATCGGCGGTTGGCATGCCGACTGCGTCAGCTCACGCACGCACACCACAGCTGCGCGTTTGTGCGAGCGCGTCGAGGGGCTCACGACGACGAGGCGTAGGTTTAGGGATCGTGAAGAGGGACGACATCACTCACTCGCACTCACACTTTGGTTTTTGACAGCGTACTGCCGGATGTCGTGAGGCTCAGAGAAAAAGAGGACAAAAACTGACGAGTCATGTTATTGTTTGGAATCTTAAAACTTCACCCGACAGATTTTCATGTTTTAATCACAAGAATGAAAAAACATAAAAAATGGCAGCAAATGGTGCTGCTGACACACACGCACACACACATAAACTTGGAAATAAAAAAAAGTTTTTAGTCAGCTGGTGGAGCCATGATTATGACGTCAAAGTTCCTTCCACTGAAGAACATGTTTTAAGTCCGTCTGTACCTTGCCCCCTTTGCATTTGGCAGTTAATTTGGCCTAAAAAATCAAATTGATTTTTGAACATATTTTTGCCTTCTATTTTATTTTTCAATTCAGAGTAGAAAACGATATTTCAGTAATTCAAACTCAGTTGTTACTGACATACTTCCATATGCTCGTGTCAGTCCAATTGGCTTTCTTTAGCATCACAATCAATGAACTTGAAAACCCGAAATAGAAAAAAAAATTCTAAACATTGAAATTGAAATTCAAACATGGACGGCAAAAAAAACAAAAAAGAGTACAGAACTGTTGCATGAGTTTAGTTTGGCTTTATATGTATTTACTTTATTCTTTTTCTTTTTACATCGAACTTTTGTAAGGGAAATATTTTCAGACATCCTTTTGGCATTGAAGTTAAAAAGACACCAGTGCGCTTCATCTCCCCGCCGCTAGATGGCGGCAGCAGAGTTGACACCCGGCCACCATTGGTTCAAATTGCAGTGGGAAGGTAAAAACAGGCGGTGGCGCCATTTGGCTGCTTTGAAATATGGCAATCAAGAAGGGAAAAACATCCGATTCTGTTTCAGGGCATTTTCCATTGACTTCAAAATGCCAAATTTGAACTTCAAATGGAATTTAAATTTCCCCCCCTTGTCGTGGCTCAGACGATTTTCAGCCTTCACAGAGGCGCGTTTGGGAATTCAAAGTTTGATTTTGCAGGAGAAAAGGTTCACACGAGGCGGCGCAAGACGGAAGAGATGGAGGAGGAGGAAGAGGAGGATGAAGAGGGTTTCCACCTCCGGGCTCGGACCCGGAAGAAGAAGAGGAAGAGGAGGACAACGCAGGAGGAAACGTAGAGGACGACGCACAGGCTCAACTCCACTCCGCTGAAGCCCGCCAGCTTCTCGCCGTCATCGTCGGCGGGCAGCCGTCGGAAGGTACCGGTGTACGTCCGCGACGACAAGTTGTCATCAGCGTAATGACGCTGCAGGAAGCGCGACACCTCCTCACGCACCCAAACGCGGGCACCCGCCTGCTCCTCGTGGCACGGCGCGCACATCGAAGGGTCTGGCCACAGGCGCTTCGGGAAACCCGGGTCGTCGCTCAGCGAGCCTCCCGCCGAGAAAAGGAAGCAGAGGAGGGAGGATGTAGACAGGAAGTAGAGAAGGAAGAAAAGGTGGAGGAGAAATGAAAGAAAAAGAACAGAGTGGAGCAAAAGGAGAGGAAGAAGAGGAGACCGCAGTAAAAGGAGGACAAAGGGGAAGGTAAGAGGAGGAAACAGAAGGAAGAGCAGAGGTAGAAGGACACAGAAGAAAGAGGGAAGGGCGGAAGGAGACATGGACGAAGGAAAGCAAGAAGGCCAACGTTAAAATCAGGCAGCGACGTGCGTGGATGCGTGGGTGCCGTGCGTGCTACCTGCCAGCCTGAGGTTGACCTGGTTGTGCACGTGCCAGAGCCACAGCAGCTGCTCGCCGGTGCTGTTGACCGAGGTCAACGTTGTGGAGGCGGAGTCAAAGTGGCGTCCGCACTGGCGACAGCCGAAGAAGTGGCGCATGTAGCCGCGCATCACCGTCAGCACGCCGCGCGCGCCCGCGAGACCTATACCATATGCCCACGACTTCAGTCCCGCTCAAGTAGAGCTTTGGCGCCAGCTTGGGATGTCTTGTTGCCAAAGATTTATGTTCAAGTGACTGGGGGGGGGTTCAAAGTCATCTTGGTGCCATTGGACTATGTTGAGATTACTTGAGTTGATTCACTCAGACAAAAATAAGGCTTTGGAACCATCACGGTGCCAAATATATTTCTTAAAATGAATTTAAGAGCTTGTGTGTGTGTGTGTGTGTATGTGTGTGTGTGTGTTTGTGTGTGTGTGTGTGTGTGTGTGTGTGTGTGCAGGCGTACCAGTGTTGGCCAGCGCTTGAGGTTTGTGGTGCTGTTGTACGGTAAGGACGTGGAAGAGCGTCCAGAAGGCGCAGGGGTAACCCCGAAGTCCTTCTCTGCTGCCCCGGCAGCCCACCCAGTTGAGCCCCGGAGACAAGAACGCATCCGCCGTCTGAAACAGGAAGTGGGCACTCGAGCGACACACAGCGGCAGCGGTCAGGCACGCGGAGGGGCAGAGCTTACCCTCATCTTGTTGTCCAGGAGGTCCAGAACAGCCTGGTAGGCAATCTGCTTGAGTGGCAGGCCATTCAGCCAATCAGAGAGCCTCTCCATCAACTTCACCACTGGACCGCCCCCGGGATACAGCTACTCACGTAAATTCCAGATTCTCACAAGGTGCATCACCGTAGCAACGGGTGGGCCTGGCGACTACCGTTTGTTACCTTGGCAATCAGCGTTACAAAGTCCTTCAAGACCTGAAGCTCCTCCCCCTCCATTGTAGGGTGACTGGCCAGCTCCACCCTCAAAATGTAGTGAAGGGCTGACTCCAGATCAGCCATGTACACCTTTGAACTGCATGCATGCACAGACAAATGCTCAAATACACCCACACACACACACGCACGCACACATCAAGTTTACTTGGGGGTTTAAAGCCCCCCTTCGCTGCTGCTGCTGATCAAGATGATGAAGACAGGAACCTGTCAACGTGCGTCCAGCTGCTGCTTGGCACGGCCGTTACTTGAGGCGGCGCCGGCACGTTGTCGAGATGCGCATCGAACCTTCGCCGGACGCCGGGTAGCGAACGCAAACACCAAGTGATGAAGAAACGCAAAGGCTTGGCACTGGACGACGACGTGTCCACGTGTGCGTGCGTGCCATCGGGGTTGAGGAGGGAGAAGTGCGGCAGAGCCGTAATGTTGAGCGTGTCCAGCAGGGCGGCGTCAGAGCCCAGCACCCGACGCACGTGCACGCCCGAGTACGACCACATGTCCAAGGTCACCTGGCACGGCAGATGCGGCTCAATAACACGCAACTTTCTGTCCTCTGGGGGAGTGGGCGGGGCCTACCTCTCGGCCCACGTACGAGTGTTGATCCTCTACAATGATGGCTGTGTAGTGATCTGACCTTTGACCCAGCAGAGGAAGGATCTGCACAGAGCTACACACGTACACGCATCACACACACACACAGTTGACGTGTTGATTTTGCTTGTGTAGATTTGTTTTTGTTGAGCTGGTTGTGAGGGTGTGTTGTGTTCTCATTCTGCAGTTGTTGTCACCTGTACGGCTGAAGTGCGGGTGTGTGGCTGCTGTGGTTCTGCAGGATGTCCACCATCAACTGTCTCACTGATTGGACGTCTCTGTCAACAACTGTCATACACATGCGGTTCAAGGCAAATAAGTGAGACGAGGAGAAAAGAAAGACAAACAGGAAGTGCGTCCGTCACCTGTGTAAGTCGTCCCTTTGTCCGTGGGTGGCGAGTATGCGGGGAAATACTTTGGAGAGACGTCACATTAGCAACTTTTGGGATTTCACGGTCAGTGGAACCTCGCTTAGCGAATTGGCCAACGACCAGCTTGACGCAGTTGCCTACGCAGGCACGAAGTCAACGGGGAGGCTTTTCCTGCTTCTTTTGAGGAGGAGGACGAAGAGCCGAGCAGCAGAAACAAAGGGAAACGGCTCAGGCTGGGCGCTAAACTGTAGCAAATATCGATGACTAAAAAAAAAAAAAAAAATTCATTGACGGATTCATCAATTATTACAATAACTATTAGCTGCGGCTCTCTCAAAAAGAATTAGGTTAATAGTGCACACTGCACAGAACTGATTTGAAACCACACCTATAAAGTAAATAAAAGTTCCTGGTTGGGCTGGAACAGATGAATGACATTTGCATTGATTTAATGGGAAACACGCCGAGCTGGCTTTGCCACTGTTTGGTTAGGCAAATTCAATTCCTTAAGCAAAGTTCCACTGCGTACGACGTTGGCGTGTTACTGACTTTGAACGTCGGGTACAACTGAATGTTGTACTCCTTACACACGTCGTAGTTGATCTCCTGCGCGCAGTCCAACACCGCCAGCTTCACTGCCTGCTGCCAGTCTGACGCACGTACGCACAAACACACGCAGATACACGCACGCACACACAAAGTGAGTGAGAAGATTTCATTGGTGTCCATCTGTCACCATCTTTGTCCCTGGGGACCGTTCAGCTGCACACCAGCTGCCTCTCCCATCAACAGACACGCGCGTACGTGCACCCAAAGGCAAAACCACGCACCCACACACAACCGTACAAAAACACCTAAAGAGGCACAAATACCCCAAAACCTGGAGCCAAACAGTCCAAATGTCGAGCCAAATGGCCTGGCGCACCTTGGACATCCCGGGCCAGCGCCTTCCAAGTGGGCGAGAACTGGACGCAATGTCCGCACCACGACGACATGAACTGCACCAGCCAGCCACACGACGAGTTGCTGACGGTGGCGGTCAAGCTGGAGCCGCTGAGGACGCTCAACGGGTCCGAGGGGGAGTACAACCGGCCGCCGCCCCCCTCGGGTTTCCCGCCGCGCAGCAACGACGCCCACAAACACAAGGCGAGAAAGCGCCGTGTCGCCATGCCGCGTCAACAACGAGAAAAAGGAGGACAAGAGGCGCACCACAATATCGAACCTCCAAGCGCAACAAAGCCGGGAGGCTCCATCACACGCCGAAGCGGAAGTGGGGACGCCGGTGGTCACGCCCCGCTCCACCGACCGGAAACAAGCGAGACGGCTCAGTAATCGCTACTCAGTAGCGTCACATACGAGCTAACTCATTTTTTCCCCCCAATTTGCTTTATAGACGTGTATTTGTTTTTAATCTTGAATTTATCTTGTTTGTTTTCATTCTAGTCTTGTATATATAGGTGTACTTGATTTAAAAAAAGCAATACCAAGGCAACTCGGCAAGGACGGACTTCATGAGAACGCTAGCTCGCCTCATTAGAATGTGAACTCCCCCCAAGACTCAGGCTGTGACGTCTTTCCCCAAAATTACAATAAAAAGTGTGTGTGTGGGTGGGGGAGTTATAACCGTGAATCATTTTCTCAGCCATCATTTTGATAGCAGCACAAAATGCATTTTGGGATTATTTCCCGAACAAGTCTTCATCAATCACCAACCGAGTTGCTTTCAGTTAACAGGCAAGAACAAGATGGGAGTATTCCATTCGTTCTCGGTCCGCGACTGATGACGTCTGACTAGATCACAATGGCCAATTCGCGGAGTCGCACTCCTTGAACGCTCCATAGCAGTCGCGACCAAGACCCCGCGGGGTCAAGATCGCGGGGGTCGCATACCCAAGCATCGCGGGAGTTCCTCGGACATGAACGCTAAGTAATCATCGGCTTTTTCTAAGTGCCAACCTCGCTGATTTATCCTTCACCTTTATTTCACGCATCAATCAATTTACGGACGCTTAATGCTGCCACGCCAGATAATAGTTCCAAATTGTAGCAGAATGAAGATGCGGAAGCGTGTTTATTAGATAGACAGAAAGAACAGGAACGATCTCGCGAGATCCAAATAAACGTTTGCAATTGAAATAAAGCTGTGTTGTTTAAAATAGAGCCTTTTTTAAATGCCATCATTGAGTTTAATGTTATTTGATCAAGAACTCAGTGACGTGTGAAGCACACCAGAGGAAGTTGGTATGTTCTTTCTGTCGACCAGAGTTCCACTGAAAAAGAGAAACAAAGTTTGTCGTCCGGTAACCATAGCAACGAGGCGCCACACTGCACGAACAAGCTCGTGTCGAACGTCAAAGTGAGTTGCTGCCGTCGTAATTCGTCATGAATGGTCAAAATGCGTCCAGTCAGGACTTTTCGTTTAATCGGGCTGCCACAGGTTCGTTTGTGAAAGCGAAGACGACGCGTGTGACATTGTGCTGATTTGTTTTTGGGGCGTCGCTGCTCCACTTCATTATTCTGGCAATGTCCTTGGAGCTACTAACAAATTCTGGAAAAAATACATCCCAATATATTCTTGATTACATTGACGTAATTGGAAAAATATGCAGTTTGTTTTCTTTAATAATGATAGGAGGAGGAAAAAAACTGTTCCAATTGTAATAATTGTTCATGCGGAATTTCATATCCACGAAATAAAATGTTATTGAAAAGATTTATTGATAAAGAAACCAGACAATACACGAGTAGCACATTCACATCCAAAAACAAAGAAGGAAGCTGTTAAAACCTCTGTCTTATGATCTTCATGTCATGTTGTCCATCCATCCATCCGTTTTCCAATCCGCTTTATCCTCACATGGGGGGGGGGCAGCTGTCTTCGGGTACTAGGCGGGGGACACCCTGAACCGGTTGCCAGCCAATCACAGACCCCACAGAGACGAACACCCATTCGCGCTCACACGGACAATTTTGAGTGTTCAATCAGCCTGCCATGCATGTTTTTGGAATGTGGGAGGAAACCGTAGTACCCGAGAAAAACACACACAGAACATGCAAACTCCACACAGATAGGAGCCAGGATTGAACCCACGACCTCTGTACTGTGAGGTCGACGCATTAACCACTAGCACACCGTGTCATGTTGTATTCCGTATTATTCTTTCTCAACATCTTATTTTGCCTTAATGACTCCCATCATTTTGAAAATGCAATCTTTCAATAAAGATTACGTGTGTGACAACAACATTCCTTTTTGTCAGCTAGACCAATGCCACCGGAACGAGAATGCTGTGTAAATCTTAACAAAGGAAGTTATGACATTTTAAAGCTTTCAAAGTGGGCAAAAATGTCCGTAACTTTCTCCATTGTTACAATGCACTGGCCTGTGACTGAATGTGCCAAGCGATGTGCGGGTGTTTCGCGACAAGTACGAGCAAAGTGAAGCATTTTGAGTTGAGATAAGCACAGGGAACGACTGCGCGGGCCATACACGCCATCTCTGCAGTGCGGGGCCCGTCTGTATGTTTGACTACCTGAGACTTGGCTTACACCATTTGCTTGCGCGTTGGCGTGATGTCACAGATAGGGGGCTTGAATTATTAATTACCCTAAATGGACCAAAATAAAAGTTGAAAATGCTTGTATTTAAAAGGTCATTTTGAAAGTTTTTTTTTCTACTCACAGAAGATCGCCATAACATGACGTCTGCAGGGATGGGCGTGACCAGAGATTCATTGCCAATCAAGGTAAATACACGGTCATCGGTGAAAAATATGGGACATCATTATCGATCTTTTGAACGCGTGCATGTTTGTGAGCGTGCGTTTTATGTACACTCCAAGGGTCCAACTTCGACAGTGGGAGCCAGCAGTGGGTCGCATGCACAAGCGGGCGTGGCGGAAGGTAAAAATTCCTCGTGTTCACTGCCGGGCACGTTGTCAATTCTGCCTAGCAATGATTGTCTTCTCAGCTGAATGCATTATATATCATCTGAACTTTTGTAGAGATAAAAAAATGTGCTGTTCAACACTTTGTAATGTGGTCCAAAGGGAAAAAAAAAAATCATGATTTTGCTACACACAAAGAAAATCCTTGAGGCTAGCGGAACACGACTCCCATCATTTTGTAAATGGAATCTTTCAATAAAGATTGCCACCGGAACGAGAACGCTGTGTAAATCTTAACGAAGGAAGTTATGACATTTTAAAGCTTTCAAAGTGGGCAAAAATGTCCGTAACTTTCTCCATTGTTACAATGCACTGGCCTGTGACTGAATGTGCCAAGCGATGTGCGGGTGTTTCGCGACAAGTACGAGCAAAGTGAAGCATTTTGAGTTGAGATAAGCACAGGGAACGACTGCGCGGGCCATACACGCCATCTCTGCAGTGCGGGGCCCGTCTGTATGTTTGACTACCTGAGACTTGGCTTACACCATTTGCTTGCGCGTTGGCGTGATGTCACAGATAGGGGGCTTGAATTATTAATTACCCTAAATGGACCAAAATAAAAGTTGAAAATGCTTGTATTTAAAAGGTCATTTTGAAAGTTTTTTTTTCTACTCACAGAAGATCGCCATAACATGACGTCTGCAGGGATGGGCGTGACCAGAGATTCATTGCCAATCAAGGTAAATACACGGTCATCGGTGAAAAATATGGGACATCATTATCGATCTTTTGAACGCGTGCATGTTTGTGAGCGTGCGTTTTATGTACACTCCAAGGGTCCAACTTCGACAGTGGGAGCCAGCAGTGGGTCGCATGCACAAGCGGGCGTGGCGGAAGGTAAAAATTCCTCGTGTTCACTGCCGGGCACGTTGTCAATTCTGCCTAGCAATGATTGTCTTCTCAGCTGAATGCATTATATATCATCTGAACTTTTGTAGGGATAAAAAAAAATGTGCTGTTCAACACTTTGTAATGTGGTCCAAAGGGAAAAAAAAAAATCATGATTTTGCTACACACAAAGAAAATCCTTGAGGCTAGCGGAAGGATTGTTTGCCGTAAAACATACCAAATATTTGCACTTGTGAACACATTTTTTTGTGTGTAGTCTTGTCCCGGTGGAGGGTCCAGATCCGACAGCAACCCCCACCCTCCCGTCATCCCCCCGTCCCCAATTTTGTGACCTTGTGGGGCCCGTCTGTATGTTTGACTACCGGAGACTTGCCCACCATCGCTGGCAACCGATCGCTCGCTTATACCGTTTGCTTGCGCGTTGGCGTGATGTCACAGATAGGGGGCTTGAATTATTATTACCCTAAATGGACCAAAATAAAAGCTGAAAATGCTTGTATTTAATAGGTCATTTTGAAAGTTTTTTTTTCTTCTCACAGAAGATCGCCATAACATGACGTCTGCAGGGATGGGCGTGACCAGAGATTCATTGCCAATCAAGGTAAATACACGGTCATCGGTGAAAAATATGGGACATCATTATCGATCTTTTGAACGCGTGCATGTTTGTGAGCGTGCGTTTTATGTACACTCCCAAGGGTCCAACTTCGACAGTGGGAGCCAGCAGTGGGTCGCATGCACAAGCGGGCGTGGCTGAAGGTAAAAATTCCTCACTGCCGGGGACGTTGTCAATTCTGCCAAGCAATAAATGATTGTCTTCTCAGCTGAATGCATTATATATCATCTGAACTTTTGTAGAGATAAAAAAATGTGCTGTTCAACACTTTGTAATGGGGTCCAAAGGGAAAAAAAAAAATCATGATTTTGCTACACACAAAGAAAATCCTTGAGGGTAGCGGAAGGATTGTTTGCCATAAAACGTACCAAATATTTGCGCTTGTGAACACATTTTTGTGTGTGTGTAGTCTTGTCCCGGTGGAGGGTCCAGATCCGACAGCAACCCCCACCCTCCCGTCATCCCCCCGTCCCCAATTTTGTGACCTTGAACCAGGAAGCGGTGAAATCTGGTCACGTGACGGTCAAACAGGTGAAGGAGTACAGAGCACAGGCAGGCGTGGTCAAGCCCAGCCCCGCCTCCAAAGCGCACAGGGGAAGAGCTCCACAACGGACACAAATCCCGGACATCACATTTGGGGTCAAGTCAAGGTCGCGATACGATTATTTTATTTTTTTTTTAAAGGATGAGGTCGCAAACGCTGCGTCGCCAATGAGTGAACAATTCCGAACGCGGGTATCGTGTTGGGAATCGTTCACTGATTCCTGGCTACCAAATTGCAACATGAGGAGTTTTGTAGAACTATGATGGTGGTGTTCCTCAGGGCACCAACTCCATTCTATGACGTTTTGTCTCATGAGTATGCTCGCCGCTGGATAGAGGACCAAATGAAAAGACGCAGCGAGCATGAACGCCGCCATGTGGTCAGTGTGCACAGCCCCCCCCCCCCCGCACACACACACACACACAATGATGACACATGCTTTTTGTGTGTTTTCAGGCAAAGTGTGTGTCCTTCGCCCACACACGCACCTCTTTGCTGCGAACTCAAAATGCGCATCCTCACTTAAACACGCACACACACACATGTGGGCGCTATGCACAGGTAACACACTCATGCATACAGTGTGCACACACATGTACTGGTACTAAATGCAAACGTGTGTGTGTCCAGGTGGGCCCTGCTCTCGACACCTTCAGGAAGCGTCGCACAAACCCGCCAGTCAACAAGTCGGTCGGCTAGCGCGCCTCCAACGAAGCCCATCACGTCAACGAGTCAGCCACTGAACAAAGCGAGAAGTGATGACGTCATGTGTATGACTGCAAAAAATAAAAGTTGAAGGGGGGGAAAAAAAAAAGTCCCATGAAGGCCTCCTGTCATCTGTCAAAACTCATCAACAAGGTTTGGCGGCCATCGAGGACATTTTGGAGCTTGACGAAAGACATGCGTCAAAACCAACCAATCTCGATTGTCTAAAAACATCACGCATGACCTTTGACTGCACGCGTGCGCTCACGTCATCAATCTCGTGCTCTGGAGAATGGAGCGGTCATCAATGGCTAATAAATGAATCAGCAATCCGACCACGGAGCTTTTCAGAGAACCTTTGCGCCAAGTACTGCCAGGACAACACAAGCAACTTTTTGAACCAGCAAAAATTAACCACTTGGTGCTGCCTGTATTAAGTCCCTTTAGCTTAATGCTAACACAGAATGGAAAAGGCCATAGATGGGAAGCTCGTCACAACCAAGGCCACATGTTTAATAACTTCACGTTAAAAGGTTGACAAAAAAAATGTGTTGTCATCAAAAGTGTGCGAAAAGTCTTGGTTTTCAGGTAACGTGAGTGCTGCGTGATTACTGAAGCTACGCGCCCTCCTCCTCTCTCTTCTTCTTCTTCTTCTTGTTTTTCTTTGTGGTGAACTGGAAACCGGAAGAGAATTCGTAAGCGGCGGCGTTCTTTGCCTTGGCGTTGTTCTGTTGCTGCTCCTGACGCAACCTGAGAAGGGAAGGCATATGTGAAGCATGAGCACATGCATGTATCAAATGTGTTGTGTACACGTTTGCGAAGTGTGTAGTTGTGTGCATGAGTTGGTGTTGCTCAATTGTGAGTTTTGTTGCCGTGTGCCCTCACTTATGGTGTGGATTTGCGGCGCTATGGGTTCCGTGTGGGCCGCCCCCTCGTTTGATAGTCCGTTGGGGTCCGGCGGAAAGGTTCCGCGGCGCGTCCCTAAGGCCAAAGCTCTTGGCGGCGTGTCCCAGGTGGAGGCCGCGGATGTGGAACACGTGCTTGAGGTGTGCCGGGTAGCTGGCGTACGACCTCAGGTACGACCCCAACGCTGAGCGCAACGACATGGCATCGCGTCACGTGACGTGACGCGGGAGGGCGGAGACGGAGCTCTTACCTTTCTTGGCGTTCCGCAGCGACGTGGCGTCGGCGTGCACGAAGTTCTCAAAGTGGGTCTGTAGGACGGTGGCCCGCTCGCGTGCCTCCTGCTCCAGAGCGGCGCGACTCGCCTGCCATGCATCCATCAAACAAGTCTTGCCGTCACAAGTTGCAATCAAGTGGGCGGGACCTGGCGCTGATACTGAACTTCTACTAGCCCTTGTAGAGTTGGTGTGTACAAGCCAAGTTAAAAAATGTAATTAAAATACAATTTCCGCAAAAAGTGGTGAGTGTGTGTGTGTGTGAGAGGGAGCAAAAGAGAACGTGTCAGGTACAATCAATACCTGGCTGTGGTACTTGCCCCGCCCCTTGTAGGTGTCATCCTTCATGAGATAAGCGAGGATGTCGGGCAGCTTCATCTCCGATAGGCTGCAAGCAGATTGCAGTGCTGAGCAGGTAAGCGCAAGAAGCAGACGACGGGGTGGGGTGGGGTGGGGAGCTCACCCGATGTTGCCCTTGGCCAGTACGTCCACGAAGGCCGACTCGCCGGGCGTGAGGAAGAGCAGGCTGCTGCCCATCTGGCCTATCCGTGCTGTGCGTCCCGCGCGATGGATGTACTCCGCCACGCTGCACGGAGGGGTGTACTGCGCACACGTGTCAACAGCGTGTCACACAACCCACTGTGTGCGAGTATGCGAGAGAGACACGATGTGTTCAGGGTTGCAATGTGTATGTATGCACGTGTGTGAGAGCGACAGAGGGACAATTTGCGTAGTGAATGTGGTTGTAACGTGTGTGCGTACGCGTGCTTGAGTCAGTGAGTGGTTGTTACCTGTATAGGTGTGTGTGCGCGTGTGGATGCGTGGAGGCAAGGGCGCGTGCGTGTCTGTCACCTGTATTATCCATGTGACCTGAGGTAAGTGTAGCCCTCTAGCGGCGACGTCCTGAAACAACAATAGTGTTTTGAGCATGCAAGTCCGCCCCCCAGCGGCCATGATGTGAAGTGCTTCCGGACAGACGGACCGTACACAGCAGAACTCCACAGGCAGAACTCTTGAACGTGTGGAACACCTCCGAGCGCTCCTGAGCAATAAAACAAACATCAGCTGAGCTGCGGAACTGACCTCGATCTGACCCGGACCCTGACCTGGCCTCACCTCCTGACACATGTTGCCGTGGAGACGCATGAAGACGAGGCGAGCCTTCCCATTAGCGGACAGTACGCCGCAGAGAAGGGAGTGCAAGAAGTCCACCTCTTCGCAACTCGACACAAACACCATCACCTTCTTGGCCTAACGCAACGCATGCACAGTTATTACATATCTCACCGTCCTTGCACACGCGCGCACGCACACACACACACACACCTGGCAGGCGTGTAGGAGGAAGGTGGCGAGGCAAACGAGTCGGACTTTACTGGGCACGACGACCACAAAGTGATGGAGGCCCGTTGGCAGCGCGAAGCTTTCCGATTGATCGACGGGGGCGCTGGTGTTGGGGGAGGCGGGCTCACAAACCTGGATGCTGACTGGATCCTTCAAACAAATGTCTGCCAAACGTGTCACGCCTCAAACACACACACACACACACACACACACACGTGATGTCATCGCTAGCATGTGCACACAGCAAGTATCCGCACAGCTGGTATTTACCGTGTGTGAGTGTTGCCGACAAGAGAACATTTTGTCGCTCTGGTCCAGTTGAGTTCAAAGAGTTTAAGATGACTGTCAGGTCCTTCTCGAAGCCCAAGTCCAACGTCCTGCACGCGCATACGCACACAAAAGGTGAGAGCATTTCTCAATTGACCTGCTTGCCTGTACAAAGAATGTTAGGATGTGTGTGCGCGTGCGCGTGGGTGTGTGAGAGAATGGCTTTAAAGCGTGAGGTACATTATTGCGATGGTCCGTTATTGTGTGTGTGCCTTTGGTAGCGGTTGTGTTTTGTTTTTGTTACACTGTGCTCATGTAGTATTGTGTGTGTGTGCGTGTTATAATGTGTGTGTGGGCGGTACCGGTCGGCCTCGTCCAGAACGAGCCAGCGCACGGCGCTGAAGGCGATGCAGAGCGTGTGTTTGATGTGATCCACCAGACGTCCCGGCGTGGACACCAGGATGTTAATGCCTTTGCGCAATCTAACAACACAACGCCAAAACTTGCACTTAGCGGGATTCATTTTTGCCCAAAACTCATTTGCTTCCTAGAAAGATTTGCGCCTCCACCTGGCCTTCTCCGACTTCTTCTTTTCTCCCCCCATTAGAACCCCAGGAACGATCCACGTGAACGGCTGCCGGCAGAACAGGATGGATGGTGAGCGCTTTCCGTCCTTTCACAAGAAGGGCGTCCGCCGGCGGCGGCAACGTTTACCTTGAGAAGTTTCTGGAAGGTGACGAAGGTCTGCTGGGCCAGCTGGACAACGACAACATGGCAGGAATAATCAGCAACATGCGCGCACCACCTATTGGTTTGCGCGGCGGTCACGTGACCTAGACGCATACAACAAGGTCCGCTAACCTCTCTGGTGGGGACGATGACGAGCGCCAGAGGACCGTCGGAACGCTGGACTTTGCTTTGGAGACTCTGCAGGCTCTGGACCAGCGGGACAGCGTAACACAAAGTCTTACCTGCCGCGACGACAACACACTTCAGCATGCGACACGCACGCAAGCACACCCGCGCGCGATCACACGCACTGACCTGAGCCCGTCTGGGATCGGACGATGGCGTCTTTTCCCGACAGAAGCGCCGGGATGCTCTGCTTCTGAACGCTGAACGACAACACCACGTCACTCACGGCTGTGCGTGCGCTTGTGTTTGTCACCTGCGTGTATGTTTGTTACCTGGTTAGGGTGGAAACATTGAGGACTTTGTTCAGCGTTGCCACCTGGTGGATAAAAAGAGACTATCAGGACAAGGAGCTGGATATGTGCACGCGTGAGCGCGTCTGCGTGTGTTACCAGGTGAGGGTGAAGTTTGAAGTCGGCGAAGGAGTCTGAGGTAAAAATCTTCTCTGTTAGCGGACAAACTTCGGCCCTTCGTGACAAGGAAACAATAGGACATCAACAACCAATCAGGGGAAAAGCAACAAGCGAGGGCAGGAGGGCTTGCGATTCATTTCAATAGCCAGTCTCGGGATTGAATATTGATTGATATCGATTTGGATTTAATAGGCAGAGCAACTTGACAAATAACGAAGCCGAGCTTTTTCTTGCAGTATTTGAATTGCGCCCTGCCCAGCCAGCCTCCACGAGGCCTTACTTTGCAATTCCAAATTGAGTTCACTTGGGACAAAAGGTGACTTATGTCACTGACGCCACGATTGAAATGATCTGACAGCGACTAACTGGCTGACCAACGAGGCGCTGCACATCACCTGTGTACTTCCGGGATGTCTGGGTTGTGTTTGAACAGAGAGGAGGTCTTGATGGCCGGCTTGGCATCCGTCTTGGCGTCCGCCCTGCACCGCGTCTGCTGACGGATATCAAACATTACGTGACAGGCAGGATGTAGAAGCGGTGGGCATGGCAAAAGGCACAGCAGTTGAATATGGCACCACACCTGCAGCTTTGCCGGAGGCGGAGCCTCTTGCAGCCTGGCCTGCTTGGCATGGCACCGCTGCTTGTTGGAGGAAGGCAATTTCCTCTTGGACGCTTTCACTTCCTGACAGGCAAACAAGATTGGTTGGCAAGGTTACGTGCACTCACATTCTGGTAATGTGATTGGACGACGGTGACAGTAGACGATTGTACTTGACACACTGCTTAATAATGACCATTGTCATGTTTGTAACTTTTGTGTGTGAGCGAGACATCAAAGTAGCCCTCACCAAAAGCGTGGGAGATGAACAGGATGTTGTGTTGATAAACAGCTGCTCATCCGATGACGACATCGTCACCCTGTCCTAAGAAAACAAGTCACATGATGAGCCTAATTGAAAATGGGGGAGTCAACGTTGGTTCTGGGTGTCGAGGCTAGGCCATTGGGTTCAGTAGTGTCCTCCACATAGATGTGAGTAGGATGGGTGCAATAACACAAGTCGCTCGAGTGCTACTCAAAGATTGGTGTGCATCATGTTGTCAGAAGCATCAATAATGAAATGCAAGAAAGGTGAGCTAAGAAAGAAAGAAATCGCTGCGAAATGTAAAAACCTAACATCTCGAAGTCACTATACTGAGATAAAAAACTTTGAATAGTCGATTGCAAAAGTTCTTTGAGAGGCTATCATGACTCCATACAGTAATGTAACACAGCCGGTGGAAACACTGTTTTCAGCTCAAATTAATACATAAATAAAGAACAAACGATCTCAGCGGAGGAGGCAACGCAAGATGGCTGCCTTCTGGCTTCTTCGGCTTATTAAGAACGGTGGGCATCTGAATATGTGGTCAAGAACCTTCAGGACACTTTAGACATGGACTTGCGAGCAAAGCTTTAAACGACGTATTGACGTGACTTCAAAAGTTGGACTTGGTCTTCAGCAAGCATTTTAGACTCGTGCCACCTTGCGTGTACAGTGTGCCGTACGAGTGTTAGTTTCACAACAGCTAATGCAAGTAGCATCCTCGCGCCAGAGAGCAGTCAATGGGTCAATAAGCCCGATCACGCCCACAAACATAAAACAACACTAAAATGATCGCGAACACGAGCATTAAAGACAAAAACTCACCGCCAAGCCCGGAGAGCGAAGAAACACGTGAGACTTGGGAACACGTTTTGTCACGTGACGAAGCTTTGTCTTCTTTGATGGTATTCACGGCGGTTGACATGCGTTATGTTGCATTACCGCCACCTGTCGTTTCCTTTCACGCTTTATTCTTGTTCTCAAATTTTGTTGGGTGCTGCTGCTGCTCTCTCTCTCTCTCTCTCTCTCTCTCTCTCTCTCTCTCTCTCTCTCTCACACGACTGCCCCGTTCCCTGTACCATTTACTTCCCCGAGGAAATGTCTTGGTGATCATGACACTGTTCCACCGTTTCTTTTTCCTCACACGTGTATAGCACAAGCCCGTAGACGTTTTGGCCAAATATCAGGCGTACTGCTCACGTTTCTCACCCAACATTGGTGCATCTACGGTATATGATACGCTGTTGTGGCCATTTTCCGGCTACGTCCTTCCATACGATTTGCTTCCTTTAGTCTTTGATTAGTTGAGGTTTTGTTTCCCCGTTGCTCGTTCGGCTCTTTTGTCGGGCTTTTCATGTGCGGTGATCCATATAAAGACGATTGCTTGACCCTCTCTAACTTGCTCGATCAACGTCTTGTGACTTGCTCGCACTGAGGCTGAGTCCGTGCACACCAGAGCATTCCCAATTCCACGCTCTTTTCATTTCACTTTGAAGCCGTGATTTTTATTAAATTCAATTGCACAATATGTAGATCAATTATCACGTGTCCGCCGCCAGCCAGCGTAATGTGCCGAAACGACGTTTCCTTGACGATTGGCGCCGCCTGGCCCTATCGGTTTCCTGGCCGTTGCCATGGAAACAGCAGCTCCACATCGCCCTTTTCTGACAAAATCAACAACGTGGATTGTTACATTTTTCAGAACGCACACGGGAGGGACCGGAGGAGTGTATTTGTCCATTCAAAATCGTTGTAAATTCATTGTCAAAATAATGGGGCACAATCGGCTCTAAAATATATGTGGATATCTCTACTTAGGTCCATTTCAACCGACTAAAACATCACAAAATGGTTAACCTTTCCATGACTTGAAGATGACTTAAAAGAGCAAGAAATTGGCAGCCTAAGTGCAGTTTCTGCTGTCACGTCTGTCTATTTTCTTTCATGTCACCAAGATGGCCAAAAACAATACGTCCCGAGAGGCTTTTTGTAAAACGAATTGCTCATATATTAAATTTAAATCTGGAAGGGTTAGCTTGACTTAATTTTTCCCCAAAGTTCACCTCTATGAGGGACTCCCGTCACCGTCTATCCAAAAATCAATTGTCCCTTTAAGTAATTGGCAACTGACAAGTAATTGTCAAGATGAACACAAAAAGAGGCCCATATTTAATTTTTTATTCTTAATTAACTTCCTGCATGTTGCAGTAAGTCCACTGTGTGTATATGCGTGTTTACGATTAAGTCTGTGTGTATGTGTCTAAATGTGCACTAGTGCATCAAACACCTGACCTTTGTCATGCGTGTGCATGTGTGTGAAGCGAGTTTGAGTGTGTGTACGTAAAGTTCACGTCACGTTCCACTTAGCAAAGGGACGATAGAAAATAGTATTGCTGCTAGCTGGCATGCTAACATGACCAAATCAGTCATGTGACCTCATGTGTTTACAAAAACTACAAAATGATGACATGACAAATGTTTATGGGGTATGACATCATGACTTCACATCTTATAGGGTGATGGTCTGATGAGCCAAGATTATTCAAATTCTTGAATAGCATCAAATCAAGGACATGCCGAGGCCTGTCCCAGCTGATTTTGGCTAATGATGTAATATCATGATGTGTAATTATGTCATTGTATGATGTGGTAGTATGTGACAAGATGCCGTGTTAAATAAAAACTATCCAAACATTCCAAACTACATTACAGCCTCAGTGGTGTCACGGCAATGTCAAAATGTCACAACGCCTTGCCGATGTCATGTCATGATGCTGTGACAGTGCGATAATGTCATGTCATGATGCAGTGATGACATCATCTTACGATGGCATGACATCACAAAGCGGGATGACGTCCTGGCATTGCGACGATGGAACGTCATAATGTTGTGACGCTGCGCTAAGGTAACGCTGCCATGTTGAACCATCCCGATGATGTTATGCCGTGATGTCACAATGTCGTTACCATGTCATGTCGTGACGCCGTAACGATGCAACGTCACCGCCATGTTGAAGCATCCCGATGATGTTATGCCGTGATGTCATGTCGTGACGCCGTAACGATGCAACGTCACAACGTCGTGGCCGTACCATAATGTAATGACGGGACAAGACGATTTGACGATGTTCCGATGAAGCCTCCTGACACTGTCACTGTATGATGTGGTAAAGCGTGACATTGTAGAGGAGCTGTCGGCCGTTGTTCCAGGCATAGAGCGCCCTGTCGCGCGGGTTGTAGTCCAGCATGGAGATGTGGCCGTAGGTGTTAGCAAGGGGCACGTCGATGTACTCGTACGTGGACGAGTTGGTGGAGAAGGCGTAATAGACCTTGGTGGCGCCCGAGTAGCCGTTGGTGACGTAGAGCGTGCCGCAGACCATGAAGGCCTCGCCGGCACTGCGTTTGGGGTGGTTGGTGGTCCAGCTGCGTACCACACGGAGGCTTTCAGGGTCCAGCTGGCTCAGCACGATGTTGCCGGCGTTCTGATTGGTGGCGTAGACGGCCCACAGACCGCCCTCGTCCACCATCAGGTCGATGTCGGAGTGGCCACCCCACGAGTAGTGGTACATGTTGTTGTAGCCGGCAAAGTCCAGCTGGCGAGAGCGGCTGATGAGCGACGACTTCAGGTCGAACTTGATCAGCGTGTGACTCTGGAACTTGTTGAAGTACAGCGAGCCGTTCAGGACCACCTGACCCGTCCCGGACCATGGGTGAGGCAGGCGGTGCGACGTGAAGTTGTCCGTTGTCATGAAGGCCGACAGCGACTCGTACTCACGGACGAAGCGGTTGTTGTGATAGCCGTCCATGTACCACACCTGAGACGCGCACACAAATGGCAGATCGGCTGCTTAGCTGCTCACTGAGTACGCAAGGCTACCGTGTGCTAACATGCCAACATGGTCATGTGATACCCCAACACACACACACACACACACACACACACTCGCGTGCGACCATATGCGTGACTGTGATGAAATGCTAACTTTAATATGCTATTTGTCAACACACTAATATGACAATATACCATATGCGTGACTATGATGAAATGCTAACTTGTCAATATGCTATTTGTCAACACACTAATATGACAATATGTCTAACTAACAATTAGCACGCCACTCTGCTAACATGCTAGCATATCATTTGCTATTATGTGAGCTAACTCACACACAAGTCCAAAACTCAAATTGTTTCAAAGGGCCAAAACAATTGGTAAAAAGTGTGCGTTAGTGATGCACGACCGCTTCTCCCGACTTACTCTGTTGTCTCCGGCGGGCGCCAGTGGGTCCGTCATCCAGGAGCCGAACCTGGATCCGGAGGTCTTAATGGTGACGGGCTCAGCTATTCTAGTTAGCTTCCCACAAGCTGGAAGGCAAACGGGAATGGGAAGCTGGTCAGAAGCGGGTAGGCAACCGCTACGCTAAGGGACCTAGCTACTCGCTCACCGAGCCGCTGCATGCAGGCGCGCAGGCGGTCCTCCAGGCCAGCCACGCGAGCGTTCAGGTCCTGGTAGTCCACCGGGGCCACCCGGTCATGCAACTCGGCCAGCGTCGCCGTCACGTTGGCTGCCTCCTCCTTAAAGCGTCGCACCAAAAGGGCGTCGGCCTTGTAGGCTTCCAACAGCGGGATGAGCGGACGCAGCTCCTCCATCTTGGCCTTCATGGCCTGAACCGAGACATGACTTGCTTTTGTCAAAGCCAAACAAGGTAACGTATACTCATTTAGCATTAAGTAATATAATGTCATTGACATTTCTTTGTAACTATTGTGCTCAATAAAATAGCATAAACTCAACTAACGTAGCATAACGTGAGGTAACGTGCATGTGTTTGCAGGCGCGCTTACCTGGTAGTGCCTGGCCCTGCTGCTCTCATGCCCCGCCTCCACCTCTTTGAACTTGTTCTCCAGGCCTCTTAGCTCCACCTCCATCTTCTCCACCACGCCGATGTCCTGGCGGCTGCGCCGCTCCAAGTCCTCGATGGAGCGGCTCATGTTCTGCACCTGCGACGTCAGCCCCGTGGTAACTTTGCTTTGGTGGCGGGCGTGCCTGTGTTTTTCTCACCTTGTCCAGCAGGTGTCGCACTTGCTTGCTGCGAGCGTCTCGGGAGCAGGCACCATTGAGGGGGGTGAGCACCGTGCACACGCAACCGCCTCCCGAGTCCTGGGCCGAGCTGAACACCTGCCAGCCGTCCCGCTCCTGAACCCCATCGGGACCCTCCCGACCCTGGGGGGCCGCCGGACCCACCTGTGTTTGCGTGTGTGAAAGAGAAAAAGGAAATTCACGCTCCTAAAAATACACACATTCAGTGGACCAGAGATGGCAGACGGACACAATCGCGTTGTGTGTGCGTGTGTGAGAAAAAGTGGCACATTTCTAAAAATACACACATCAAGTGCACTAGAGGTAGGGCTGCCAAGAACGCTTTCACGATGCGCGTGTGTCTATACGCATACTTACTTATGTGAGACACTTAAGTATTATTAAAAAACGCGTAGTGGTGTGTGTGTGAGACCGATTTTTAGGGTGTGTTTCTGTTGATGTGAGAGAGAGGTATGTAGGAAGACGTGCGTGTGAGAAAAAGACGACGGGTGGACAGACGTGGCGTACCGGCGTGAAGGAGACAGCGAGGAGAAGGATGAGCAGAAATGACTTGACCGCATTTTCTTCTTCGGACTCCATCCTGCCTTCTTGTCCTTTCTTCTTTTCTTCTTTCAGCTCCGTCGCCGCGGCCGGCCCACTCTCAACACATCCTACACGCTGTGCGCGAATGTGCGTGTGTTGATGTCATTGTGTGACAATTGGGGGAGGAGTCACCATCCATCGTGCTGTGTGTGTGCGTGTGTGTGTGTGTTTGTATCGCCTGCAGCAGTGACAACTCGTCTCCTCATCAAAAGCTTCCCACACACGCGCACAGGAAGGAGGCTGTCTCCACAGCAACCGCTGAGTGATCCTTCCAGAAGGATGCACACATTCATGCCGATGGACGCAGACACACATACTCACACACTCGCGCACACACATAGGCACGAATAATTGCAGACACACAAAGTTCAGTCCAATCGAGGAAGTGAATAAAGTGATGTGTGACACCTCATTGGTCCAATGTATATATTAGTATTAGCATCGTTAGCAATTCGGTCGTACTGTTCGATCTCAAAAATGACGTTATCGGTGCCAGGTGACCTCACTGAGCGCAAACCTTCACAATAAAAGCAGAAGATTAAATCAGGCTTAGTCGAGGTCTTTTATTTTGAAATAGGGCACATACAGGAAGTGGCGTGTCAGAGTAAAAAAAAATATAAGACGTTCACATCCAACACAACCACGACAACAATGAGGCAGGGGTGAGGTAAAATATTGAGGCGGGGCTTGCAGGGGAGTCCATAGTTACACAGTCACATGACTGAGCTGTTCCTAATATTATGACTTCAAAATGGGGCATTTTATTTTGAAGGCTTTCTTTTAAGTTCCATCATCCTATATCCTTTTTTCAAAATAAAAGTTCAACGTTAACATCAGAAGTAGCGCCTTGTGTGGCCAAACAGGAAGAACGCACGCACACGAGACTTTTGTTTGCTTTTGCTTTCCTTGGCAGAACCCAGACCAGCAGGCATGCGTGTGTGTGTGTGTGTGTGTGTGTGTGTGTGTGTACTCCAAAAGAGACAGATTGTGGCCTTCTATGGTTACCATGGAGACCCCCTTGACCATGGTGATGGTTACCAAGGCAACACAGCGAAGGTGTTAGATGAAGAGGACGACGTCGCCATCTGGTGTCTTCAACAAACTCAATTCCTGTTTCCACACGTCGTCTTCACACCAGACGACTCGTCTGTACAAAGCCTACACACACACACACACACACACACACACACACACACACACACACACACACACACACACGCACACACACACACACACACACACACACACACACGTATTATCAAGATGCTCAAGAAGCTCTGGTGATAATTATTATGGTCTGGCATTAGTGTTGGTGGCTGTCATGATTGTTTTGGGGGCATTGACCTTTGGCCTCTATGAAGACTTTGATGTAGGAGGTGGGCACGTATCCTTCTTCGTTTGGGTTCCTACGCACGCGTGTCCAGCCGTCACCTTTGTCCTCCTCCACCACACTCAGAAGTTCCCCCTCGCACATGGACAGCGTGCCCTCATTCTGACCTGTGACATCATCACAGCTGCAGCTGCATCATCATCATCATCAAGGTCACCATCATCATAGTGGTCACGGGCTACCTCGGAACGGGTAAAGCGACTTGCAGGTTCCGATGCTGGGCAGCGGCTCATCGTCGTCAAAGTCATCGTCAAAGTCGGAGCTTCGGGATTTGGAGAAGTGGATCTCGGCGCCAGGATCTTCCGTGTAGCTGCCGTCGGGACTGCAAACATCACAAGCGCCGCCACCGTCTCAAAACACGACCAGAGAAAACGACAAGAGCGAGGAGAAGGAAGAAATACCGGCCGAGGACATTGAGAAGAACGCCAGGTAGAATGACAACGACAATGTTTTAGATTTGTTTAGTTTTAGTATTAGTTTTATGACACAAAAGAGGCCGTGCATGCAGATGTGAGAAGATAAAAGCCAACCAGAACAAGACATTTTTTTAATTTATTTTTTGCACAAGACAGAAAGAAAGAATGAGAAGTAGTTGACAACCTTTCTCTGCTGTCCGGACTTGTGGTGTTGATCTGTTTCAAAGTCCCCGGTGCGGACGGATCAGTGCCAAAGTGGGAAGGCGGAGGACACGCGCTCACGCCCTGCTCAGCCTCCGCCAGCCACGCCTGAAACACACGCACGCGCATATTTAAAAAAAAAAAAAAAAGAGAGACTGAACAACAAAACGGAAAAAGCGTCGACATCGTCACTTGAGCGACATCACAGACAGACGAGCTCGTGCGCTTCACCGCGCAATGACATCTTCACAGTCACCATATCAGTGACCTCATCACAGTTCGCCGCATCATCAAAGATGGCCGCCTTTGTGGGAACATCGCAGGTGGTCGCAGGCGGCGACTCGAGAAATCTTCACGCCTTGATTGTTACCGAGTGCTGACACAGGGAAATTGGCCAAAAAATTTGAGCGCTGACTGATTTTCATATTTTATGACCAGCGACTGCTGACTCGGCAAATCTCATCCACGGCTTAACGCCTGCTCAGTAAATCTCCACAAAACTGGACTATCCATCAAATTTTCACAGCGTTTGACCGCGCAGACTCAACAAATATTCATAGGTTATCTATCCACCGGTGGACCTTCAAAAAGTTTGACCGGTGGCCAGAGCAGACTGATCAAATTGGCCAAAAGTTTGGCGATCGACGACTCCGCAGGTCTTCGGCAAGTCGGACGCAGCCATGTCTAACTCGAACCAAAGCCCGGACTCGAGGAAGGAGGTGAACTGGAAGATCAGGAGGTTGGTCCAGAAGCAGGATGAGTTCAAAAAGCTGTGGCAGACCGACCAACTGAGCCACGACACTAAGGTGGAGGCTCTGGAGTCCCAGAACCGGGCGCTGCAGGAGAAACTGGATGCGGCCAGCAAGGAGGAGGAGGAGCTGATGACCCAGGTGAGAGTCCACAAAGCGCAGATCTTCTCCCTGGAGCAGAGGAAGTGCCTCATACAATCGGAGGCCAAAGACCTGAAAGTGGTTCAGGGTCAGCTGGAGGGGAAGATCGGCGAGCTGGAGGCGGCGCTGGTCACTTGGGAGAAGAACCTGGAAGCCCAGGCCCAGAAGCACAGCGAGCAACTGCAGAAGGTGGATGACGAGTGGAAGGAGAAGATGCGCGAGAAGGACGAGGCCTTCGCCAAGCAGGCGGCCGCTCTTCAAGCTCAGATGGACAAGATGAGCAAGCAGGCCGAGGAGCTGGCCGAGGACAAACAGAAACTGCAGGTGGCGCTGAGCGAGCGGCAGGAGGAGCTGGAGGCCCAGAAGGGCATTCGCGACAAACTGCAGTATGACCACGGCGTGGAGATGAGACTCATCCAAATGCAGAAGAACGCCCTCTCCAACAAGGTGACCGCTCTCACCAACACCACCGACGACCTGATGGAGAAGAAGGAAGCCCTCAAAAAGTCCGACGAGCAAAAGAGCAAAGAACTCAAGGCCAAGAATGCCGACATCAGCGACCTGCAGACGCACAAGGAGATCGTCAACGCGCAGCTTCAGCGCGAGGAGCGAGGGGCCGCCACCCTGAGGGAATCTCTCAGACACATGGAGACCGACATGGAGGCCCTGAGGGTCGAGTATACGATCGAGCAGGCCGCCCACAAGGTCACCAAGAAGGACCTGGCCCTGGCCAAGATGCAGGCCAACGACTTGGCCGAGAAGATCAAGTTCCACGAGGGCCGTGTCAAGGCCCACCAGGCCAGCGTCAAGAATCTGGAGTGCGTGCTCCTCACCAAGGACACGTACATACGCAGGTTCCGCGAGGACCTGGAGACCTCCATCTCGCTCATCAACAGGCCAAAGACCTTCACCAAGGCCATCACCAGCCTCAAGAGGAAGTACATCACGGGTGACCTGGACGTTTGCGTGGACACCATCGAGGAAAAGATCGCAAAGTTCTTGGAGTCCAACAAGTTGCAGTCGGACCACTTCGAGAAGACTACCCAGAGCCTGCGGCGCCAGCTGGAGCAGAAAGACACGGAGACCCAGAAGAGGCTCCAGAAACTGGACCGCTGCCGCGGAGAACTCATCAAGATCATCAACGAGCAGCGCCTGGAGATCGCCAAGGTCAAGGCGGAGCTTAACGACGTCACGCATCAGCTTCGGCAGATGGCTCCGCCCCTCGCTGCTGCCAGGACCAATCGACCTTGAACACCCCACACACCCCGTCCGTCACTCGGCACAACACACACACACAGACACACACACACAGACACACACACACACAAGGCAGACGGCAGTAAAGTTGGGACGTCCACCTGGTTGTTCCTAAGCTCCTCCTCCAGCCTGTGTAGGCTCCGTCTTACTTCGTCCAATCGTGGTTCCAGGGCGGCGCTGTCCCCCAGGGTCGGGTTCTGATGGTACATTGCCTTCATCTTCACCAGTGCCTCCCTGGAAAAAAACAGCAGGCGAATGCTAAGCTAACAAGCCGCACAGAGACGTGTGATATCACCTGTGCCCATGCTCTCAGATCTTCTGGCTAACATTAATGCCAAGCTAACAAGCTGCACTGGTACTTCATCACCTTCTGGTTCAAGCTAAGCTAATGCTAACAAGTGGCAACTTGTGAAGCGGCAAGAGACATGTGTCACCTCTGCTCTCACTTGTGAAATGCTCAGCTTATGCTAAGCTATCAAACAGCACAGGGACTTGTGCGACTTGTACTTGCTTGATCTTCTGGCAAATGCTATGCTAATAAGTGACACAGGGCTTCGCATCACCCCTGCTTACAGCTAATGCGAAGCTAACGATCATCACCTTTGCTCTCGCTCTCGCAGGATCTCTTGTCCGATGTGGTGAATTCGGTTCTGAAGTTTTTTCCGCCGTTGCTCGATGGGAAGATGGCTGCAGTCCGCAGGGGCGGAGCCCTGAAACGACAGCAAACATTGATGACATCAAAGCTTGGCACCTCGTACGCCTGTGCTACTTACCAGTTTGAGTGACAGCTGTCCAAATAGAAGCATTGAAGGAAGGATATTTGGAGTTAGGACTGCCTTCAAAACGTTTCATGTATGCATGGAGAGATAGTCACATGTTTCATGCTGTATGTAAATGACCTGTTTATTGATGCGAGTGGTATGGAATTGATATGCAAATGAGTCAACCATAGTCTTACTCCCTTGAGGCTGCACAATGCAGGAAGCAAAAAAATTGTATTCCCGAAAAGAAGTTTTTTTTCCCCTTCTGAAACTGAAAAATATTCTTTTTTTCATTTCTAAAAACAACTGCCTTTTACTAATTTCTGAAAGCTTTGTCCTAAAAAAAAAAAAAAAAACCCAAAAAAAAACAAACATGTTCATCATCTCCATAAATCATTACAATATTTACATATAATACAGAGCCCATGTCATGTGGAAAACAATATTAAAATTAACAATAGGTATAAAGTTTTACTTCTATTTAACACCCCCTCCCCCGCCCAAAAAAGTACATCTGCCCTCTTTGAAAAAAAACAAAACAACCTGTTAAGTGCAAACATCGTTTTCCGAAATAATAATAAAATGAACGCGATTGCAGCATCCAACGTGGGAGACAAAGGGCGCCGACGAGCCAAGTGCTTTCAAAATCTGCTTGTGTTCTTCTGCGAGGATTAAAAACACACGCGCACACACACACACACACACACACACACACACACACACACACACATAAAAGTCAGCCCATAACAATTCATGTCAAAAAAAAAAAAAAAAACCCAAAAAAAAACAAACAAACAAAAAAAAACTAAACTGTCTCCCCCACCCCACTAACAATGTAAATTTTTTAAAACAAAAGTAGCTTTGGTTAAAATAAAAAAATAAAAAAATAAAAGACTTATTTTTGATCCACTATGTGAAGCAGTTCTCTGGTCTTCTCCTGACCTGCAAATGATACGCATGTGCGTTTGTAAAGCTATGCCAATGTGAAATTTTTGAACGAGTACTCCTCTCTTGAGGCTGCGCAGGCACTGCTTCCTGGTTCGGGAGCCGGAGGTCATGAGGTCATTGAAACGCTGCGCGATGGGGTCCCTGGTGGCTGGGGGAGGGGACTGCGGGCTGCCGGCCACGCCCCCCGGAGACGGCGAGGCGGGCGGCGGTGGCGGAGGCTGGTGAGGCGACGACAGCAGATTCAGCAACTGAGCGGACAAAGGTCGCAGGTCATGGAACTGGGCTGGCCGGGGCGGGTCGCACGCGGCGAGACGGGCCGGCGGGGCGCATACTTTATTTTTGCGGAGGAAAGGCCACAGCTTCCTGCCGTGCCTGCGCCCCTCCATGTGGTCGTCCAGGTAGCTGGACTCGGAGATGCTCCGCCTCATGGAGGCGGCGTGCTCCTCCAGGTCCACGTCGCCCGGTGGCTCGAAGCCCGACTTGTACGCGCGCACCACCGAGCGGGTGTCCTGAAAAGCCGTCGGATCTCGTCCGCATCAACGGCATGACGTTGCCCGGTCGAAGCGGGCCGAGTGTTGCAAACGAAATGGGGCTCTCACCGTGCGGGCCTGGATACTCTCAGCGGCCTCCATCATGGCGTCCAAACATCGGCTGACGACAGGAAGTGCTTTCTTCTCCGCCTCGGCCGACGAGCGCATGGCCGAGCCCACGCGCTCGATACGACGCTCCTCCATTTCCTGGATGCGCTGTGACACGCACGTACTTGGAGTGCTTGCAAGTAGTCGATGTGGACGAAAGCGGTGCCGAGCCGTGCTTTTACCTGGTATATGACGGGCACCATGGTGTGGTAGTGCTGGTGCTGGTCCTGGTTAAACTGAGTCAAAGTGCTCATGTATTCCTTCTTGGACTCTTGGGCCGTTTGCTGTTTTTGCTGCGCCACCTGCCGGGCCTGAAAAGAACAACAAAGCCACACTCCGTACACAACAGCGCTCACCTAAGCAGAGAACCGATAATCCAAATCATGATCGGGAGTTGAATCAAGTAAAATCTTACCTTAAACGAGCAGCGCTGACAGGTACAAACACACACACAGACACACACACACACACGCAGAAAACAAAAGTTCACATAACTTGAATGTGGCCAAGAAAGAACCTCGTAAACAATCTTAAAAGAATGGTAACCAATGGCAACCAAAGGTAAAGAATGGTAACCAATGGTGATCAATTTAAACTAACGGCGGCTATTAATCAAGAATAATAACCAATGGAAAGCAATCGTCATCGATGGTAGCCAATGACAAGCAATGGCAAAAAAAAAAAAAAAGGTCAAAAAAACGTTTGCCGTCAACTCCCTCAATAGTGGACTCCAAATTCCACTGTGGCATTTTGCAAAATGTTTGCCATATTTTGCACATTTGATTAAGACTTGTCGATTCAAGATTCCACACCGCTGGACACTTGAAAGTACTCTCCGCATCATTTGCATAGCAGCCGCTGCATCGGAATGAGCGCACTAATACCTCACTTGAAATTGTGCCACCAATGCTTCTCCCTCTCCTGGCCACTCGATTTTTTTTTTTTTTTTTGTTTTATGACTCTCCACATTTTTTTTTGCCCAGCCGCTAGCCTTCTATGATGCAAAGACACTTTTCACTGTTGCTTGTGCATGACATGTGGCAAATTCCTTGCGTCTTTTGACAAACGTGGCCAGCGAGGAGGACTGCGATTGTGACGCGCAAACAGCGATCATCGGCGAGAACCGACAATGAGCAAAGCGTGTGGTGTTTCTGTGCGACCTTCTCAGCGTCCACGTTGTTGTCTACGTCCATCCTGTCGCACATGTGCTGTGCTCGCTCCGCCTCCTTGCTGTCGCGCTCAAAACGGCGTTTGGTCTGAAAGGCCACACACGTCAGCAGTCAAAACATGCCACGCAGACGCTCCACGGTGGGAAAACACGCTAGGCTGACGTTGTTCACCGGCGAAATGTGACCGACATATGCAATGTCCGTGATCATAAAAATGTGCTGCGGACGTCATTTAAAACGTGATTTCGACTTTAAAGGACACGCTGGAAACGACGCATTGTTGACAAGTGCGCATGGGGGCGTGTCCGCGGACGTGCTTTGAGTCAATGCAACTCACAGACTCAAGTTGCTTCCAGGAATTTTCAATGTGCTGCTGGGCACGGCGGCCATCTTGGAAATGCTTGGGAGAGAAAAAAAGTCAACATTTTTGAGTCTTGTGCTTGTACGTGTGTGTGTGTGTGTGTGTGTGTGCGTGCGTGAGCGCCATCTGACCGACTTCCTCTCGGCCTTGAGCTCCTGCGTGAACCTGCTGAGGTCGGCGGCGACGTGCGAGCTGAGCTTGTCGGCCACTTCCTCTCTCTGCGCCGCCAACTCGGCCAGCTGCTGAAGGGTGGCGCCGAAAGCCGCGCACCACGTGTACCTGAAGGCAAGCCAAACGTGCCCGAGCTCATGTGTCTGTGTCGGAATGTACGTGAAGAACGTTTTTGTAAAAAGTCCCCGAATGACTGACTCGCCTGTTGTCATCTTCTTTGCTCCTCTTGGGCAGGTACTTCTTCGACAGGCTCCTGCAAATGGCGAGAGTTATCGTGGGCTGTACATCGGGGGCGACGTCAGCGCCGATGAGGGTGTGGCATGCGCGATCGTTCACCTGATCTGTTTGGCGTACTGGAGTTCAATGTCGGCTCGCTCTTTGACAAATTTGGTGTACTTCTCCAGGAAGTCGATGCCCCAGCTGGTGTGTTTCTCCAGATTGTCAAACTGGTCCTGTAAACAAACGCAGACACTGCAACGCCCACATCACCATTTTTCACTCCTCGCTTCCAAATGTTGCGCCACCGACGGGGGAAAAAAAAAAAACCCGCCGAGACAAATGCCGACATGTAGCTGGACGCCACGGCAAAACGACCCCCAAGTGATCCATTTCGGCGCGTGTTCCTAAGATGGCGGTTTTGGTGGGCTTGGCAAAGTAGCAGCTGATTTTGCTGACAATCGGGGGACCTTAAAGACCACCTGAAAGGAAGCATGTCATCGGCTGATTCTCGAAATCGACGTTCCCCAACTGCGGATCGCGTTTCAGTAAAACGAAAGCCACGGAGCCACGCCTTGAGCGAAGAGTGATTTTCGATACATGAGCCATCTATTTTTTGCTTGGTTGTAGCTCAGTGTGCCGCCATGGTTGGTCTTTTTTTGGTTGTCGCGGCAGACGCCTTTGCCTCTTCGAGTTCAGCATTGCTGTAAGCACTCAGCTCAAAAGGGGCGTGTCCTGTCTACCGACCTTTTCTTGCGTGTTTGTCGGTCTGGAACGCATTAATGACATTTGCATCCCTTTCAATGGGGGAAGACGATTTGAGATACGAGTGCCTTAAATTACCGGAGCAATCCAGATCGTATCTCAAGGCGCCAAGCAAAATCAAACAACTAAGCACGAAGCCCATTGCAGTCATGGGAATTTTGAGCAGGGCTTGGGGGCGGCCACTCGCCGAGCATCTTTGCCGGCGACCACTCGCTGGCACGTTTGTTTCTGCGGGTGCACAATCACTGTTGTGAGAGAAAAAAAGATTGGTCAAGCGCTTCCAATCAGTATCTCCAATCACTTGGTCCTGTCTGCCCAAAAACGCCAAGCCATGTCTGCGCACCCCCGACTACACTGCAGGGCTCATCAACTTGATTCATTAAGAAGACAAAACCTGGACCACAGGCTAGACCCGTCACCTCAGACTAGAACCCTTGCACGAGACACTAAACATCGCACCTTGACTTGAACCTCACACCCACTAGTCCAGAGCCCAAAAAACCTGACACATGTTTGAAAATGGACCAGGACCAGTAAAAAGGACCTGCATCTAAGACTGGACCTGGGCCTGCACCTGAGATCTAATTAGCTGTCCTGGTTGACTTCAAAAAGGAGACCTGACCTGAGACTTTACCAGTGCAAACACGTGGACTAGCAAGCAGACCTGAACCAGCGGTTTGTAGACCTGGTCTAGTGCATAGATTCGGACTACTACAGAGTACTGGACGATGTCCTAGACCTGTATTTTAATTTGCAGTCGTGAATGTAAAGACGAACGAGTGACGTCATCCGCCACATGCCTCTCGATTTCAACGTAATGACGCGCGTGCACGAGAGCGTGTTGCTACGGCACAACGGACGTGAGCCGCCGCCCGGCAGCTTGACACCTGCGCACGCACGAGCACGAACACGAACACGCGGCCGCAGGTGCCAGCAGGCGCCATCCGCGTTACGTACCCACAGTTCCGCGCCCCAGTTGACACTCATGTCGCCTCCTCTTCCTCCTCCTCCACCTCCTCTTCCTCTTCTTCTTCTCGCCGCTGCCTTGCGCGCTCACGGCCGCCGTCCCGCCGTGCGTCTGTCCGTACGTGCGCGTGCGCAGTGGCGAGAACCGTAGTAGCAGCGGACGCGGTCACGCGCCCCGCCTTTGTTGTCTCCAAGGGGAAGCCCGACTGCGCGCAAGCGCGCGCGCCCGAGCATGCGCAGTAGCCGCTTCATTGTGCTGGAGGAGACGCGCGCGGGGGTCCAATCGGGAGGTCGATTGGCACCATCAGCGGTTTCAACCTCGGACGAGGAAAAAAAAAACGAAAAAAAAGAGTGTCATGTCAGGTAGTTGCGTACGGGAGGACTTTGCTGCCGCAGCACAAATGAGAGGTTCAATGTCACGCTATTTCGTGATCCAGTTGACGGTTTTAGTTTATCACGTTCAAAGTTGGATTTAGGATTTAGACCGAGCCGCCCATTCCTTGATTTAGAGGGAGGATTCGACAAAAGCACATCTTGCTTATTGCAACTCCCTTCACCGGTCCAAAGTTTGGTTCTTGCCTCACAAGTTCTTCATTCACAAATCTGGAGAGGTAACCTTTCGAATTCGACACACAAAAAAATGTAAAGCTCATTCATGTTGAGGGGTGCTGTCTTAATTGGTTTGATCCGATCTTACATTATTTAGTTGTAATTACTGTGGAATTTATTGCTCAATGTGCAGTTTGGTAAATAAAGCATTAAGTTTGACAACCACATTCTGCAAAACAAAATATTTCAAGCAATTTCTTCCGGATCAGGTTTTCTAGTCTGTAGTAACTGGCTATCTTCACAATGCTCATCAAGAAAGCAAGTCGAAGAAGTGTGTCAAGAGTTCCGATTTCAAAAGAAGACGCACAATACTGATCGGGTTTGAACGTGAAAATTAGCATTTCAAATCTGAAATTCAACACGTTAAAATGTAACATCAATGTAAAAATGTTAAGATCACCGTGTTATGAAGTAACACTGAGCTATTTTGTTTCGCGGCGTGGCATCGATGCGCTTATGCAACTGTGTGCAGTTCAGAGTTACTGTCTGTAGGCATCATTCCAAAAGGCAGGTTCAGGTTGTGCTCATGTGGGCACGCATGCAATGCAAACGGCGATCAACAGGTGGAGACAAATACGAGGAAAAACATCGGTCCAAAAACATTTAACACTTTATTTGCAAGTACGTTTTTCAACCTATTCTATCAACAATGCGCTTTTCATCTCCTTACGTCTGGAGTAAAAATAAATCTCTCGATCTCCGGTGTTGTTGGCCCGCCGGAAGAAAAACCTGAAACTGGTTTTCGAGTTCATTACGAGCAATAGAAAAAGAAGCCACTCGGCTGGGAGGGTCTCAGG